ACACAATCCAAGCACTCCCAGCAGATAGCCACCCTCTGCTGAAAAACCTCCAGAGGAGACTCCGCCACGCTCCAAGGCAGAGAAATCAGATGTGGTGCCAATTGTAAAAAAACATACCTCTGCTCCTCTCATACGCCATAAATTAGAAGGGGAAGGACAAAACGTACTGTTAACTTTTAAACACTTTGCAGCTTCCCTGCCTTAATATATTGTAAATTAAAGGGCAGAGAACCAGATAGGATGCCAACATTTGAACAAATTCCTGTTCTTCTCTTCTATAAATTAAAAGGAGAAAGGACTAGCTGTAAGGTCAACTTTCCAGAGTTTATTTATTTTGTATTTAAAACACATTTTATAACCACATTACAAATAAACACTCCCCTGCTCCTCTCTGGGCCCTTCCACACTGCCATATAATCCACAAATGTCAAGACAGATAATCCACAATATCTGCTTTGAACTGGGTTACCTGAGTGCACACTGCCATATAATCTAGTTTAATGTGGATTTTATACGGCTGTGTGAAAGGCCTTCTCAGTGGTGGCCCCTCACCTGTGGAACTCACTCCCGGGGGAAATTAGGGCATCAACATCCCTCCTCTCCTTCAGGAGGAAGGTAAAGATGTGGTTGTGGGACCAGGCCTTTGGGCAATCTGACAATTAGATATGGACAGCCAGATGGATAGGACTGAAAGGACTGACAATTGTGGAATTGGAATTTGAACTATGAGATTTTGAAACGCTGACCGTCAATGAGGTTTGTATTGGTTTTATTGCTTTTATTGGTTTTATGGTTGGTTTTGCCTATAATAACTATTGTTTTCTGTTAATTGTCGTTATTGCCAGGATTGCTGTTTCTGTTAACTCATGTTATTGTCTTTTGCTGTTATGTGATGCGGGCATCGAATTGTGCCTTGCTTTTGTAAGCCGCCCTGAGTCCCCCCTGGGGTGAGAAGGGCGGGGTAGAAGCAACTGAAATAATAAAATAAATAAATTAGGAGTTCCCCCCCCCCACCCTCTTCTCAAGTTAGAAGGAGGAGGACCAGAAAGGATGCAAACTTTCAAGCATATCCCTGCTCCTCCACCTCCATACAACTTTGAAAGGTGGGGGGGGGGGGGGTGGCGACACAAATAGGATGCCAGCTTTCAAACTAAGTCCTACTCCTCTGTATTAAAATAAGAGCAGTTGGGGTGCAAATTTTTTAACTCATTCCTGCTCCTCTGCCGACACAAGTTAGAAAGGGGGAGGATCAAATAGGATGCCAACTTTTAAACTGAGCTCACACTAACAAATATATTACAAACTTGCATGGCCTTTAGTTAACATCATCAGATAGTTTATTGTGAGAATATTTATTTATTTATTTACTATGCAGGCGACTCAGGGCAGTTTACAGTGAGCACCAAAAACATAAAGGCGTGGAATAATGATATTTAATTAGAATAACATAAAGATGGAATAATATAATATTGATATAATATAATGACATTAATATAATAATAACCCATCCTGCCATAAGCAAAAGTTAGCCACTTTAGGTCTTGATCAAGAGAAAAAAGGCATGGAATGATATATAATTATAATAACGTATTAGTGATGTAATAACAATATAATATTGATATAATGACATTAATATAATAATAATAATAATAATAATAATAATAATAATAATAATCCATCCTGCCATAAGCAAAAGTTAGCCATTTTGGGTCTTGAGCAAGAGAAAAATGACAGGGTATAATAATAATAATAATAATAATAATAATAATAATAATAATAATAATAATAATATGATGATGATGATGATGATGATGATATGATATAACACTAATATATTATATAATATAATAATATATTTATATAATTATAATAAGAATAATCAATCATCCTGCCATAAGCAAAAGTTAGCCATTTGGGGTCTTGATCAAGGGAAAAATGACAGGGTATAATAATAATATGATAGAATGATGTAACACTAATATATAATGATATACTATAATATTTATATAATAAGAATAAGAACAATCAACCATCCCTCCATAAACAAAAGTTAGCCATTTTGGGTCTTGATCAAGAGAAAAATTACAGGGTATAATAATAATATTATAGAATGATATAACACAAATATAATGATATAATAATATTTTATATAATTATAGTAAGAATAATCCAACATCCCGCCATAAGCAAAAGTTAGCCATTTATATAATATTGATATATTATATCAATATTGATATAATATTGATATAATATAAACATATATTGATATAAATTATAATAAGAATAATCAATCATCCTGCCATAAGCAAGTTAGCCATTTATATAATATTGATATAATATTGATATAATATAAACATATATTGATATAATTATAATAAGAATAATCAATCATCCTGCCATAAGCAAAAGTTAGCCATTTATATAATATTGATATAATATAAACATACATTGATATAATTATAAGAATAATCAATCACCCTGCCATAAGCAAAAGTTAGCCATTTATATATTGATATAATATTATATCCATATTATATAAATGGCTAAACTATGCTTATGGCAGGATGATTATTCTTATTCTTATTATATAAATATTATATCATTATATTTGTGTTATATCATTATATCATATTATTATCATACCCTGTAATTTTTCCCTTGATCAAGACCCAAAATGGCTAACTTTTGCTTATGGCAGGATGATTGATTATTCTTATTATAATTATATCAATATATTATTATATCATATAATATTGATATAATGTAAACATATATTGATATATTTATAGTAAGAATAATCAATCATCCTGCCATAAGCAAAATTTAGCCATTTATATAATACAGATATAATATCAATATTGATATAATATTGATATAATATAAACATATATTGATATAATTACAATAAGAATACTAAATCACCCTGCCATTTCTGCCATTTCTGTCCAATCCTGGGCACCACAATTCAAGAGAGATATTGACAAGCTGGAATGTGTCCAGAGGAGGGCGACTAAAATGATCAAGGGTCTGGAGAACAAGCCCTATGAGGAGCGGCTTAAGGAGCTGGGCATGTTTAGCCTGAAGAAGAGAAGCCTGAGAGGAGATATGATAGCCATGTATAAATATGCGAGAGGAAGCCACAGGGAGGAGGGAGCAAGCTTGTTTTCTGCTTCCTTGGAGATTAGGACACGGAACAATGGCTTCAAACTACAAGATAGGAGATTCCATCTGAACATGAGGAAGAACTTCCTGACTGTGAGAGCCATTCAGCAGTGGAACTCTCTGCCCCGGAGTGTGGTGGAGGCTCCTTCTTTGGAAGCTTTTAAACAGAGGCTGGATGGCCATCTGTCAGGGGTGATTTGCATGCAATATTCCTGCTTCTTGGCAGAAAGGGGTTGGACTGGATGGCCCATGAGGTCTCTTCCAACTCGTTGATTCTATGATAAGCAAAAGTTAGCCATTTATATAATATTGATATAATATTATATCAATATTGATATAATATCGATATAATATAAACATATATTGATATAATTATAATAAGAATAAGTAAAAGTTAATCACCCTGCCATAAGCAAAAGTTAGCCCCTTTGGGTCTTGATCAAGAGAAAAAGGTGGAGAATAATCATAATAGTAGTAGTAATAATAATACTATGCCAAGTCCTGTGAGGTCATTCCTAGGCTGCAGACAGGGTGCCAACTTCAAATCCTCTGCCTGAGGGCAAGAAATGGAAGACGACCAACTTTTAAACACACCCTTGTCTTAATACAAGATCCCCTCTATCTTGTGGGTACCCTCTATCTTGTGGGGTTCCTCAGGGGGCCATTCTCTCCCCTCTGTTGTTTAACATCTATATGCGACCACTTGCTCAGCTGGTTCGAGGTTTTGGGCTTGAGTGTTATCAGTATGTCGATGACACTCAGGTGGTGCTGAAGATGGAAGGCCGACCGGACTCTGTACCCGATTGTTTCCATCAGTGCCTCGAGGCTGTTACTGGATAGCTGCATGCCAGCAGGTTGAGGGTGAATCCAGCAAAGACGGAAATCTTATGGCTGGGTCGACCGGGCAGTGGGGATATCCAGCTGCCTACCCTGGATGGCAAGGCGCTACGCCCGTCATCATTGGTAAAGAGTCTGGGAGTCCTTTTGGACCTTCTGCTGACGATGGAGGCCCAGGTCTCCGCCGTGAGCAGAACCGCCTTCTTTCACCTGCAACAGACTAGACGGCTGGCCCCCTCCCTGTCTAGGGACGACCTAGCTACGGTGATCCAGGCCACGGTCATCTCAAGACTGGACTACTGTAACGCCCTCTACATTGGCCTTCCTCTGTCGGTGATCCGGAAGCTCAAGTTGGTACAAAATGCAGCTGCTCGGCTTCTTGCGGGAATTCCGATGAGATGCCACATAACACCAATCTTACTACAGCTGCATTGGTTACCAATTGAGCACCGGATCACTTTCAAAGTGATGGTACTCACCTTTAAGGCCTTGCATGGTCTGGGGCCGATGTACCTGAGGGATCGTCTCACCCCCTACCAACCCCAGAGATCCCTCCGTTCTGAGGACCAAGATCTATTGGAAGTCCCCAGTGTCAAGACCTTGCGTCTAACAGCAACCAGACGCAGAGCCTTCACAGCAGTGGCACCATCACTCTGGAATACTCTGCCACCTGAAGTCCGTGCCTTGCGGGACTTACCAGCTTTCCGCAGGGCATGTAAGACATACCTGTTCCGACAGGCTTTTAATGTTTGATACTGCTGTTTTTAAATTGTTTTAAATTGCTTTTAAATTTTGTTATATTTTAGCCATCCTTGTAAGCCGCTCCGAGCCCCAGGGGAGTGGCGGCATATAAGTTCAAATAATAAATAAAATAAATAAATAAAAGGCCAGAGGACCCGATGGGAGGCCAACTCCTGAACTGACAGAAGAGAGGGGACGACAAAGGCTGCCTGCGGTTCCCCTTCCGGCCGCGAGGGGGCGCCCGCGCGGAGTCCACGCACCTGGCACCTGCAGACGAGGTCGGCCTCGGTGGCGAGGAGGTCCACCACTTTGCCCTTGCCCTCGTCCCCCCACTGCGAGCCCAGCACCACCGTCACCCGGTTGCCGCCCGGCTCGCTCCGCATCCGCTTCAGAGCGACGCCTCCCGCCGCGCCGGAATTGGACGCCGCTCGGGTGCCCGACATCATCGGCGCCGAAGAAGGCCAACGACGACCTCCTGCCAACGGCCGAGCCCGCCTTCTCTCTCGCGCGCGCGCGCCCCCTCTCCGCCTTTTGTACCAACCCGCTGGCCAATCCGCGAGGGCGAGAGCTGTGACGTAACGCGGGAGAAAGGGAGGGGGAGGAGGGGAGGCGTTGAGGGGAGCAGCTCACTCTGAGGGAAAGGGAGGAAAGGAAGGAGTGGCTCTCTCTACACTGGAGGATTAACGCAGTTTGACAGCACTTTAACCACTCTGACTCAAAGCTAGGGAGTCCTAGGTGCTGTAGCTTGATTTTATTTATTTGTCGTGTCAGGACAACCAGTCAAATTATATTACATTTCTAACAGAACAAAGCAAACAAACAGAAAAAATACTAAAATTGTGAGTTTTGTAGTTGATTAAATGTCCCTTGACCAGTATCTGGCCACTTGGAGTGCTTCTGGTGTTGCTGCAAGAAGGTCATCCATGGTGCATGTGCCAGGGCTCAGGTTGCATTGCAGCAGGTGGTCAGTGGTTTGCTCCTCTCCACACTCGCATGTCGAGGATTCCACTTTGTGGCCCCATTTCTGAAGGTTGGCTCTGCATCTCGTGGTGCCTGAGCTCAGTCTGTTCAGCTCCTTCCAAGTCGCCCAGTCTTCTGAGTGCCCAGGAGGGAGTCTCTCATCTGGTATCAGCCATTGGTTGAGGTGCTGGGTTTGAGCCTGCCACTTTTGGACTCTCGCTTGCTGAGGTGTTCCGGCGAGTGTCTCTGTAGATGTCTGGATTTAAGTCGTTGATGTGCTGGCTGATACCCAAAAAGGGGATGAGCTGGAGATGTCTCTACCTTGGTCCTTTCACTATTGGCTGCTACTTCCCGGTGGATGTCAGGTGGTGCAATGTAGTGTAATTTCTCCAGTGGTGTAGAGAGCAGACACCCGTGATAATGCGGCATGTCTCATTAAGAGCCACATCCACTGTTTTAGTGTGGTGAGATATGTTCCACACTGGGCATGCATACTCAGCAGCAGAGTAGCACAGCGCAAGGGCAGATGTCTTCACTGTATCTGGTTGTGATCCCCAGGTTGTGCCAGTCAGCTTTCGTATGATATTGTTTCTAGCATCCACTTTTTGCTTGATGTTCAGGCAGTGCTTCTTGTAGGTAAGAGCACGGTCCAGAGTGACTCCCAGGTATTTGGGTGCGCTGCAATGCTCCAGTGGGATTCTTTCCCAGGTGATCTTCAGAGCTCGGGATGCTTCTCTGTTCTTGAGATGAAAGGCACATGTCTGTGTTTTAGATGGGTTAGGGATCAGCTGGTTTTCCCTGTAGTAGGCAGTAAGAGCACCTAGAGCTTCGGAGAGCTTCTGTTCTACATCTCAAAGCTCCCTGCTTGAGCAGTAATGGCACGATCATCAGCATAGATGAAACTCTCTGTCCCTTCTGGCAGGGCTGGTCATTTGTGTAGATGTTGAACATGGATGGAGCAAGCACACTCCCCTGAGGCAGGCCGTTCTTCTGTTTCCGCCATCTGCTTCTCTGGCCCTGGAACTCAACAAAAAAGCTCCTGTTTTGTAGCAGGTTTCCTATGAGGCAGGTGAGGTGGTAGTCCTTTGTGATATTATGCATTTTTCTCAGGAGGAGACGATGGTTCACGGTGTAGCTTGATGAGGCACCAGCACACTCTGGCAGAAAAACCTGTGAGATTAGTTAATGGCTCAAGGTCACCCAATAAATCATTTTGAATATCTGTTCTTTCAGGAGCCCAGGTCTTCATTAGAACATGCTGGAATCCCATATTTTGCATTGCACAGCTATTCCAGTTCAGGTTCTGAACCAGTGCTTGGCAGCTGTGACAGTCTGGATGGGAGCGAACAAATTGAAATTGAATCCAGACAAGAAGGGTGTTCATTAAAGATTTCCCCTGACCCACTTCGCCTTGTCCTGAGAAAAATGTATAATATCACAAATGATTACCTGCCTCCCAGGAAATCTGCTACAAAACAGGAGCTTTTTTGTTGAGTTCCAGGGCCAAACAAGCAGATGGCAAAAACAGAAGAACAGGACCTGCCTCAGGGGAGCGTGCTTGCTCCATCCATGTTCAACATTTACACAAATGACCAGCCATTGCCAGAAGGGACAGAGAGTTTCATCTATGCAGATGATCGTGCCATTACTGCTCAAGCAGGCTGCTTTGAGATGGTTGAACAGAAGCTCTCCGAAGCTCTAGGTGCTCTTACTGCCTATTACAGGGAAAACCAGCTGATTCCTAATCCAGATGTGTGCTTTTCATCTTAAGAACAGACAAGCATCTGTTCTGAGGATTACCTGGGAAGGAATCCCACTGGAGCATTGCAGCACAACAAAATACCTGGGAGTTACCATAGACTGTTCTCAGACCTACAAGAAGCACTGCCCAAATATCAAGCAAAAAGTGGACACTAGAAACAATATCATACGAAAGCTGACTGGCACAACCTGGGGATCACAACCAGATACAGTGAAGACATCTGCCCTTGCGCTTTGCTACTCTGCTACTGAGTATGCATGCCCAGTGTGGAACACATCTCACCACGTTAAAACAGTGGATGTGGCTCTTAATGAGACATGCCGCATTATCATGGAGTGTCTGCACCCTACACCATTGGAGAAATTACACTGTCTAGCCAGTATTGCACCACCTGACATCCGCCGGGAAGTAGCAACCAATAGTAAAAGGACCAAGGCAGTGACATCTCCGGGCCATCCCCTCTTTGGATATCAGCCAGCATGCCAATGACTTAAATCAAGAAATAGTTTTCTAAGATCTACAGAGACACTTGCTGGAACACCTCAGCAAGCGAGAGTCCAAAAGTGGCAGGCTCAAACCCAGCACCTCAATCCGTGAGACTCCCCCCTGGGCACACAGAAGACTGGGCAACTTGGAAAACGCTGAACAGACTGCGCTCTGGCACCACGAGATGCAGAGCCAACCTCAAGAAATGGGGCTACAAAGTGGAATCCACAGCATGTGAGTGTGGAGAAGAGCAAACCACTGACCACCTGCTGCAATGCACAATGGAGGACCTTCTTGCAGCAACACCAGAGGCACTCCAAGTGGCCAGATACTGGTCAAAGGACATTTAATCAACTACCAAACTCACAAATGTTGTATTTTGTCTGTTTGTTTGTTTGCTTTGTTCTGTTAGAAATGTAATATAACTGACTGGTTGCCCTGACACAACAAATAAAATTTACACAAATTACCAGCCACTGCCAGAAGGGACAAAGAATTTCATCTATGCTGATTATCGTGCCATCACCGCTCAAGCAGGGAGCTTTGAGATGGTTGAACAGAAGCTCTCCAAAGCTCTAGGACAATGGTTCTCAACCTGGGGTCCCCAGATGTTTTTGACCTACAACTCCCAGAAATCCCAGCCAATTTACTAGCTGTTAGGATTTCTGGGAGTTGAAGGCCAAAAACATCTGGGGACCCCAAGCTGAGAATCACTACTCTAGGTGCTCTTACTGCCTATTACAGGGAAAACCAGCTGATTCCTAATCCAGACGTGTGCTTTTCATCTTAAGCATCTGTTCTGAGGATTACCTGGGAAGGAATCCCACTGGAGCATTGCAGCACAACAAAATACCTGGGAATTACCATGGTATTTTGGTACAAGAAGCATTGCCCAAATATCAAGCAAAACGTGGGCGCTAGAAAAAATATCATACGAAAGCTGACTGGCATAACCTGGGGATCACAATCAGATACAGTGAAGACATCTGCCCTTGCGCTTTGCTACTCTGCTACTGAGTATGCATGCCCAGTGTAGAACACATCTCACTACGTTAAAACAGTGGATGTGGCTCTTAATGAGACATGCCGCATTATCATGGAGTGTCTGCACCCTACACCACTGGAAAAATTACACTGTCTAGCCGGTATTGCACCACCTGATATCTGCCGGTAAGTAGCAACCAATAGTAAAAAGGACCAAGGCAGTGACATCTCCGGCCCATCTCCTCTTTGGATATCAGCCAGCACACCAATGACTTAAATCAAGAAATAGTTTTCTAAGATCTACAGAGACACTCGCTGAAACACCTCAGTAAGCGAGAGTCCAAAAGTGGCAGGCTCAAACCCAGAACCTCAATCAATGGCTGATACCAAATGAGGGACTCCCTCCTGGGCAAACAGAAGACTGGGCGACTTGGAAGGTGCTGAATAGACTGCGCTCTGGCACCACGAGAGGCAGAGCCATCCTGAAGAAATGGGGCTACAAAGTGGAATCCACGACATGCAAGTGTGGAGAAGAGAAAACCACAGACCACCTACTACAATATAACCTGAGCCCTACTCACAGCCTGAGTACAGATAATACACCATACCTTTAAAACCATCTATTATAATGCAAAGGACAAGGAACAAATACCAACACTAGCAAATTAATTGTGTAAAATTGACTGGATGGGTCTGTTGAAAGACAGAAGTCTATATGCTTTACATTTTGATATAATGCTGCTAATATAAAACCATTGCAAAAACAGTGTGTTTTTTGACTTCTACAATGCATTTTTGGAGAAAGGGTTGCAGTCAGACCAATTTTTGCTAAGAAAAAGACTCACAGACAGACAGACTATATCTATGTCTGCCTGCCTGTTTGTCTGCCTGCCTGTCTATCTTTTCATGGCCCTCAGCTTTTAAGATTTCTCTATGTGGGTGAAGTGTGAGTGAGAAGCATATTGAAAATGTTGCTCAACCATGTTCATTCTGCCACCAACTCTTACTTTGATCTCAGTTGCAAAGAAGCAAAAATGTTATTATTTTTAAAAAGACGATTAAAAAACCCAGGGTTGATTTTTTCTTTGATATTTGTCTTAATTGTAATACAAGAATTATTTTTTCTGACATTAAACATTAATGTAGGACTGTTAATCTCATTACTAATAAAAACGTCATAATGCAGAGAAGCAGAAGAGCCAAAAATCTTGAAATATAGCTTTGACATTCAATAATATTGACCAACATACATTTTGGTGCCTCAAATGTTAGACCTGTTTCTGGGTATATTTAACCTGCTGATTCC